CGCTCTCTTCTCCGACTGCCCCCCCTCGCCCGCCGGCGCCGCTCTTCTTCGACTGCCCCATGTAAAAATTCACGTTCATTTTTAATATATTTATTTAATATATTTAATAATAATATTTATTTAATATATTTAATATTATTATTTATTCAATATATTATTAATTTAAATATTATTACATGTTTTCAAAAATTAAACCATCAAACGCAGTTTCAGTTTTTTTAAAAACTGAAATCAATCTCTGAATAAAACTACCAAACGCATTTCAGAAATAATTTCAAAATGAAAATGAAAACGTTTTCATTTCTATTTTCATACAGAAAATAAAAACATTTTGGAACCAATTCCAAACGCACCCATATTGTCAAAAAAAACAAATATGCCTATTTTGTAAAAAAATACCTATAAAAATATTGTATTTAAACCCTTACCTCGCCACTTTGCATGACGTCGTCTATCTGTCTAACCTCGACCAATGAAACCCGGCGTGCCTCCCATTTGAGGATTCTGGGAAGACAAGACGTCCATCAACCTTCTTTGCAAACGTGGCGCCGATGGTTGGAAATGTTTCGAATGCCCAAACCTGCGTTAAATCAATTTTTTTAAGTCTAGTAAAACAAAAAATAATGTATTATTTACTATAAGGCCATGAAAAAGTATGCATATAACTGTATGACATACCTGGAAGGCCCAAGGAAACCCGCATATTAAGTAGGTTTCCTTGATGCTCTTATTACGTCCTTTCCGAACCCATTTCTGAAATTTCTCTTTCAAGTTCTTCTTCAAAGCCCGCAGAGCGCATTGAAAAGACACCCTGCCCCATGGATAGCTATTGAAGAATTCTAAATCGTCGACGTAAGACAGCTAATCCAGTGGGACGGTCTTCTTCTCGTCCCCAGATAGTAATACTTGTGCTAAAAAATAAATGATAGCGATATTTGCTTTATCGCTACCTTTTATCTTCTTCCTTGTGAGCAATTTATTTAAATCAGCAACAAGTACTACGTGAGACTTAAAATGCTCCAACAATCTTATATTCTTCGAAGCTTTCAACACCACGTCCTGCTCTGGGGTTTCCCCACAGTTCAATCTAGTGATTAAAGCAAATTTCCTCATTCCGAACCTAGTTGGTTTTCCATTAACCATGAACCACAACTCATGTCTCTTTTCTGTTTCTATCTGCCTCAAAAGCAGATAGTGTGTCAACACTCCAAAATAGATCATATTTTCAAACATCGAAATAAAATATCCGAAGGTAGATTCCTTAAAAATTGGCATTTTCGTTTCGGGGTCTAGATTCTGCCTTATTACCTCCAGGGCCTTGATCTTTGACTTCATAGTGACTTTCACTGGGAAGTACTCCCGCATAGGATCCATGATCATTATTAGATGTCCAATCCCAGGAAGTTCATCTGTGTTGTACTTCGGGAGGTCATACTGAAAAAAAAAAGAAAAAATACATTGGTCAGAACCGACCAAGACGACA